GCATTTAGCTTTTCATCAAAATAATTGGATGATAGAAGACAATACAGAAGTTTTCTCCAAGATTCAAGGGAGTTTTCAACTTAGAACGCTATGTCTTGCTAAGTTGATAATCTGAAAAGAATGCTGAATAGACACATACTGTCAGTGTCACAAAGTAGGGTTAACCAATTGCAAATACAGGTCAAGCATCCCAAATCTGATAATTCAAAATCCAAAGTGCTGAAATCCAAAGGGCTCAAAAAGTTTGGAAGTTTGGGGCGTTTTAGATTTTGGATTTTTGGATGTGGAATGCCGAACTGCTATAAGTATATAATATGCAAATATCCCTAAATTTGAAAAAAGTCTGAAATCCAAAACACTCTGGTCCTAAGCATTTTGGATAAAGCATACCTAATTTGTAGCAAATGGTATAGCCTCAGGTAGGTGTTTGCAAAATGGAAAAGATAACAAATATATCCAACGTTTCAATATCCTGAACGATTTTTAGCATGCTAGGAAGAGTGATTGAATTCAATAAGGTCAAGTTAAAAGTCCTTTCTTTGTCCATTTTGATTATTTTGCTTTCAGGTATAATAGAAGGATTGTAGTCACATATGTGAGAAATGGTTTTGAAATAGGATATCTTGAAATAGGATTTCTTTTTGCATCTTCCAAAATAAAGTATATGTGATCCTGAACTGTATTATACAAAATACCTTGCGAAAAAGGAAGTGGGAGTATTATTTTATTTCATCTTGGTAGACAATACATTTATTCTTTTTTCATTCAGTAGACACGTTAGGTATAAACATTGTTGTGGCTCTTGTGGAGCTCCTAGATTAATGGGAGAGACAAACAGATAAAGAGAACCAATAATGAAATGCTTGATGTGCTTATAGAAGCATGTTATTTAGTGCTGTTGTATCCCAAGGGATTGACACTCCATATAAATTTTAGAGGGTCTTGAGGAATGAGTGGGACATTAGAAGATGGAGGTCATTCGAGGAAGAGGGGAAAGTATGTCCTGCTGCTTGATAAAGCATGAGGTTTCAAAGGGTAAGTGGATTTTCTTGTGTGCTGAGAGTTCATGTAGTAGGGAGTCTGTGACAGTCTTTTAATGAAGTCAAGAATCTCAGGGACAAGTATAATGACCAAATCTAAAGTCAACTGATGCCCACCTCATGCCTTTGTGAATAGTTTAACTTATACGTGATTCATCAATATAATATTACTGTTAATATTTATTTTAGAATTTCTTAGCAATATTATTGACAATGAGAATATTATATAAATGTAGCTTGGAAAAAGCCTGTTGAAAAGTAAGTGTTGAGAAACCACCCTTAGTTTCTAATATTGAAGAAGTTATGTATTTAAAATGTTAAACCTACTGAAATAGTTTATGTTATTTCCTCAACATTTTGGTTTAAAAAGCATTCATCTGTTTTTTCCATCTCACATTATGAATTTCCAAATAGCATGAATTGTGTAGTTCACTGTTTATGATATGAATAAAAACATTATATTTATGAGCTTCAGACTTTCTGACACACATAAAGACTGATGTGATGCATTTTTATACCTTCCTTAATTAAATATATTCTTTTCTCCATTTGTAATAGAGTGGAATGGCAATTGTCTAGACTGTGATCATCTAAATTTATTTTATTTGGAAACAAGTGCTTATTTCCACTGAGCTCCTATTGCAAGATGGAAAAGAAAAGAGATAAACAAATTGAGTGTTCATTTTGATAGCTATTTTGAATACTAATTTTTAAGGGCATAATTTAAAATACAGGTTATTTCATATGTTATAAATAGAAAAATGCATTTCTCCATCCATGAAATATATACTTTGGAAAGTCTCCAGGGGCAATATTAACCATCTTGGAGTACTAACACTGAGAAAAATGTTTAGTAATCAAGATAACACTTTATAAATCTTGGACTCATTAATTCTTTGGATTTTTGGTAATCTGTAAAAACATAAAAAATATTGTTGTGTTTATAAATTCCAGGACTAATTCCAATTTTTTTTTTCTTTTTTCTTTTCTTTGGAGACAGAGCCTCACTCTGTCATCCAGGCTGGAGTGCAGTGTCACAATCTTGGCTCAGTGCAACCTCTGCCTCCCAGTTCAAGTGATTATTGTGCCTCAGCCTCCCGAGTAGCTGGGCAGGTGTGCACCACCATGCTCACTTCATTTTTTGTATTTTAGTAGAGATGGTGTTTCACTGTGTGGCTGAGACTGGTCTTGAACTCCTGAGCTCAAGCAATCTGCCTTCCTTGGACTCTGAAAGTGCTGGGATGGTGTGAGCCACTGCACCTGGCCTAATTGTAAATTTTTTATTCCAGAAAAATTGTTTTTTTAAATTTTTCTTCTGTATGTGTTGATGAAAAAATAAAAAAGAAACAGAAACTAAAAATTTAAAGTTAGAGTAAATATCCCACCTGTTTAAATGTTTATTATGATTTTTATATTAAAAAAACTTTTAGGTTCAGGGGTACAGGTGTAGGTTTGTTATATAAGTAAACTTGTGTCATGGGAGTGTACTGTACAGATTATTTTTCTCACCCAGGTACTAAGCATAGTACCTGATAATTATTTTTTCCTGATCCTCTCCTTCCTCACACCCTCCACCCTGAGGTAGGCCCCAGTGCCCCTTGTTTCTCTCTTTGTGTCCATTTGTTCTCGTCATTTAGCTCCTACTTATAAGTGAGAACATGCAGTATTTGTTTGTTTGTTTGTTGTTGTTGTCGTTCCTGCATTAGTTTGCTGGGAATAATGGCCACCAGCTTCATCCATGTTCCTGTGAAGGACATGATCTTATTCTTTATTATGGCTGCATAGTATTCTTTCTATGCTGTATACCTGCCACATTTCCATTATCCCATCTATTGTCAGTGGACAGTTAGGTTGATTCTTTGTCTTTGCTGTTGTGAATAGTGCTGCAGTGAACGTATGTGTGCATGTGTCTTTATGGCAAAACAGTTTATATTCCTTTTGGTATCTATCTAGTAATGGGACTGCTGGGTCAAATGACAGTTATGTTTTTAGTTTTCTAAAAACATACTTCAAACTAGTAGTAGGCTTTATCCCTGGGATGCAAGGTTAGTTCAACATATAGAAATCAATAAATGTGATTGATTTTGTGAATGCTTCCAGTCTTTGCCCATGCAGTATGGTGTTGGCTATAGGTTTGTTATAAGGGTCTTTTACTAGTTTGAAGTATGTTTCTTCAATGCCTGGTTTATTAAGGATTTTTAACATGAAGGATGTTGAATTTTATTGAAAGCCTTTGCTTCATCTGCTTAAATGATCATGTGGCTTTTGTCTTTAGCTCTTTGTATGTGATGAATCACATTTATTGATTTGTATGTGTTGAATTAATCTTGCATCCCAGGGATAAAGCCTACTTGATTGTGGTGGATTAGTGTTTTGGTGTGCTAGTATTTTTGAAGATTTTTGCATCTGTCTTCATCAAAGATGTTGGCCTAAAGTTTTCTTTTTTGTTATGCATATGTCGGATTTTGCTATCAGGATAATGCTGGCTTCATAGAATGAGTTGGGAAGGATTCCTTCCTTCTCAATTTTTTTGGAATAGTTTCGGCAGGAATGGTATCAGGTTTTCTCTATACATCTGGTAGAATTCAGCTGTGACTCTTTCTCCTCCTGAGCTTTTTTTGGTTGGTAAGTTTTTTATTACTGATTCAATTTTAGAACTTGTTATCAGTCTATTCAGGGATTCAATTTCTTCCTGGTTCAGTCTTGGGAAGATGTTTGTGCCTAGGAATTTATCCATTTCATTTGGACTTTCTAGTTTTTGTGCACATAGGTGTTCATAGTAGTTGATAGTTTTTTTGTGTGTATGTGTGTTTTTTTAATTTCTGTGAGGTCAGTGGCAACATCCCCCTTGTCATTTCTAATTATGTTTAGTTGGATCTTTTTTCTTCTTTATTAGTCTAGCTCTAGTGGTCTATCTTATCAGTTTTTCCAAAAACTAGCTCTTGGTTTCTTTGATCTTTTGCGCACGTATGTGTGTGTGTGTGTGTGTGTGTGTGTGTGTGTGTGTGTATGTGTGTCTCAATTTCCTTCAGTTCAGTTCTTATTTTGGTTATTTGTTGTCTTCTGTTAGCTTTCAGATTGGTTTACTCTTCTCTAGCTCTTTTAGTTGTGATGTTAGGTTGTTAATTTAAGATCTTTGTAAGTGTGTATATTGCTATAAATTTTTCTCTTAACAAACTGCCTTAGCTGTGACCCATAGATTCTATATGTTTTTTTTTAATTGCATTTTAGGTTTTGGGGTACATATGAAGAACATGCAAGATTGTTGCACAGTTACACACATGGCAGTGTGGTTTTCTGCCTTCTGTCCCCTCACCTGTATCTGTCATTTCTTCCCATGCTATCTCTTCCCACCTCCCCACCCTCCCGTCCCTCCCGTCCCTCCCCCATTTCCCCCCAACAGACCCCAGTGTGTAGTCCTCCCCTCCCTGTGTCCATGTGTTCTCATTGTTCAACACCTGCCTATGAGTGAGAACATGTGGTGTTTGATTTTATGCTCTTGTGTCAGTTTGCTGAGAATGATGGTTTCCAGGTTCATCCATGTCCCTAAAAGGGATGTGAACTCATCGTTTTTGATGGCTGCGTAATATTTCATGGTGTATATGTACCACATTTTCCCTATCCGGTCTGTCATTGTTGGGCATTTGCGTTGGTTCCAGGTCTTTGCTATTGTAAACAGTGCTGCAATGAACATTCGTGTGCATGTGAAGGACCATACTTTTACAGTTTGCTGCTGTAACCACCTACCTTTGGAATTAGATTTGAAAGTGTTAAGTGATTGATGCAGGGAGCAATGAAGCAGTAAAAGTATTTTTATAAAGCTAGTAGAACCATATCTATGTTACAAAAATGAAAACTTTGAACTTTTAAAGTCAGGGTTAGTGGCATTTCATGTAGCTTTATCTAGTAATTCTGTGTTACTAAGCATTTGTCCTTAATATTAATTTTTTTTTCTCTCAGAACGATATCGCATTCAGAGTGAACAATTTGAAGATCTTTGGCTCATAACCAGTGAGCTTATTCTTCGCCTCCAAGAATATTTTGAAAAACAGGGAGTCAAAGATTTTGCATGTTCTTTTTCTGGATCTATGCCCCTTCAAGAATATTTTGAGTTGATTGATCATCATTTTGAGGTATGTATAATGATAACCCACGTAATCTATAATCCTTAAATATATGAAAGAGAAACAGATGCTATAGAAGAATTCTGTATACATACCATCAGGTTGTACGCTTTTAGTTGTTATTCTTATGTGGATGCTAGATTTCGTGAATCCATTCCTGCCCACTTGCCCAGTTTGTGATCAGTTACAGACATTTACAGAGTGGCTGCCTGGAGCTAACCATGTTGTCTGGCCCTGGAACAGAGCTGATTTAATTCTCCCACATGGAGACTTAACCCTTGACCCCAATAATCCAGTGTTAAAACTATTTGAGCTTATCAGCAGCCATTTGGCTAACTAATTCTAGCAGGCCATAAATGAGGTGTGATTATAAAGTAAAGTGATTTTTCTTTTTCTTTTTTAACAAGCATACCAGAACTTCTGCATCTGAATGAGGGTTAACACTTAAAATATTTCCCAGTATCTGGCACAGTGGGTGCTTAGTAAATACTGAATGATTAAATATATGAATAAATGAGATCTAACAGCTTTGTTGCTCTCAATGTTTTGCATTTCTTCTTTGGAAGTGCCTTCAGAGCCTATATTAGATTCCGTTGAGTATCTCAATGGTGACATGTCTTCATCCTTTGAAGATTGATTTGATGTTTGAGACTAGCCAAATACTTGTTTTGTGAATGGGTTTGACAGTGACAGTCATTGTTTTTTAAAATTCTTGTGTATTAAAATAAGTGGAGCATCAGGCTCCACATATATAGTCTATAAACAGACTCTATAGACAATACAAAAGAAGAATTTTGAGAGAATTTTGAACATTATCGAAGTAAGCATTGGTTCTCGGGAACTCCATTTCAATTTAGGGATGTGCGTGTGCGTGTGCGTGTGCGTGTGTGTGTGTGTGTGTGGTGTGTGTGTGTGAGAAAGAGAGAGAAGGAGAAAGAGAGAGAATTACTAGTCATATAATTTGTCAGCCAAGTATTGAACATTCTAACAGCACTGACTTTGAGCTATGCAGACTTCTTTTAATGCAGTGTGAACATGAGGAGAAAATTTCAGGTGTACACAATCAAATTATGAATAATTATGTCATAATTTCTCATCTATGATGAGGATCTGTGATGACAATATTTTCTAGGGACTCGTGCCTTTAATTAAATTGTAGCATGAAAACTGACAGTCTGTGAGAGTAGGTTTAGGTATCATAAGGGTTGAGAATCTTTGCAATTCTCTGGGATATATTTTAAGAAATTCTTGCTTCACTGTTGGAAACTGAGTTCTAGCGATTTGTGAAAGAGTCCATAGAAAGACTACACTAATTACATATTTGTAATATTTGAAATAGAGAATATTAGCTACCATTGACTAATAATAGATTCTATTGACTTATTGACTAATAAGTTTGACATACAAATTTCCCTTCATACTTTCTGGCTAGTAAGTAACTCCCTGGAGTTTCTACTTCAGGGGTGCATCTTTTCTGAGGAAGAACTTAGAGAATTTGGTAAAGGACAGGCACTTTCATTTATTATACACATAAATTAAGGGGGCATGGTTATGCTCCCTTTGCTCTGTGTCTTCTCCTTTCTCTGCTTTCAGCCCTTAGTAAATATTTTAAACTTTGAATGGAAATGGCTTTTGGAGTTCAAGTGTCCCTTGGAGTGTAAGCTTCATGAAGGCAGAAATTTTTGTCTGCTTCATTCAATGCTTTAATTTCTAGTCCCTGGACCAGGGTTTGGCCCTGGCATCAATAAATATTTGTTAAGCATTGAAATTCTGACATGGGAAAACATTTCAATCATTGCTACTTGGTTACACATTCAAAGGAATGATAACTTGGTTGATAGTCTGAGTATTGAGAATATCTTTTTAATTTTTTGGTGTATCAAAAATTCAGGAAATAAATTATAGCAGTAAGTTATACAATTAGAAGAACGAATATTGGTAATTAGGTTAATGTTCTTTTAAAAACATTATTTAAAAATATTTTTATTACAGGAAATAAATTATAGCAGTAAATTATACAATTAGAAGAATGAATTATAATTACATTAATGTTCTTTTTAAAACTTCATTTGAAAATATTTTTATTACTTCATTATTAGTGTTTTTTTCCTCAAGAGAATATTCTTTGATTTAGTTAGCTACTGAGTACCTCTAAAACTGGGATTTAAAAAAGATTAAAATTCCAAGTTACTTTTATTTCACATGTAATTGTAGAATGCATGCACTGTAAGGGTAAGGAATTTGGGTTATTACTAGAAAAGTAGGCTGATATGTTTGACTTCTGAGCGTTTTGAATATGATATTTATTTCAGCTAGTTTTCTTATTGTTTTGTAAAATTAAATTAGTGATTCACATGACCCAATTTTATGAAGCGTTCCTTTATCCTGTGGCTTTGACTAGCTTTCTTTTAACAATATTAACTTAAATGAGACGGGTTACAGTGAAAAGTGTCGTTAATGATTCGAATTCCCCAGCCACTCAGTCTCTTCTTTGGTGTCCAGTTTCTTGTATATCTTTCTAGAAATATCCTATGCAGTCACAACTCTGCTAATATATAGGTTTCTTTTTTTAAAATAAAAAATAATGAATGGTAGCACATTATACATACTATTTGTATTGTTTTGCTTTGTTTTCATTTATCATCTTTGGATAGCATTGCATATCAGCACCCTTAGTAGTCTTGCAGAGTAGTTTTCCCTCTTTAACTGGTTCCCCTATTGATAGGAATTTTGATTATTAATAATGCCTTACTGTGATAATAGATCAAACAATTTTATAATGAATATTCTTATATATACATTACTTTCTGCGAGTATCTATCTAGGATACATTTCTAGAAGTGGGATTGTTAGAGCTAAGGCTATATGTTTAAGAGCTATTTGTGTTAATTTTTATATAAAGCTTTGCCTATTTTTCTATTGTATTGTTGCTGATTTCCTACTGATTTCTATTGGGTCGTGGTTTTTTTCTCATTGATTTTTAGACGCTTTTAGATATGGGCATAACTTTGTTGTTGTTGCTATTATTTTTTGCAGTTTGCTATTTGTCTTATTTTCTTTACAATTTTTAAAAATCATTTTGAATTAAATGTTTTTTAAGTTAATAATTCATCAAGGGTGTGTTTATGTGTGTGTGCATGTGGCTTTTAGCTTTTGACTTACACTATAAAGGCCTTTACTATACCAAGATTATTTTTTAAATTCTGATTATTCTAATGCTTTTATTGTGTCTAAACTTTTAATCTCTGCGTTAATTTTGCTGTAAAGAATGGGAAAAGATTTCTATTATTTCTCATGTAACCATTTATTGAAAACCACTTATTAAATGATTTGTTTTTCCTCCAGTGATACTGGATAACCTTTACAAATTTTCCGTTTGATCTGTTCCAGTGTATTATCTGTGAATTAGTGAGTCATGTACCAAATACCGCATTGTTTTAATTCCTTTAACTCTATAATACATTTACATTTTTTCATTACTCTTTTTATTATCAGTGTGTATATTTTTTCTTTAAACATGTTTTTTGTGTCCATTTAATCTCAATTTAAGAAATTCTTCATTGCAGCTACGGATAAATGGTGAAAAATTAGAAGAACTCTTATCTGAGAGAGCTGTGCAATTTCGGGCCATTCAACGCCGGCTCTTAACAAGATTCAAAGATAAAACCCCTGCCCCTCTTCAACACCTGGACACCTTGTTAGATGGAACCTATAAGCAGGTCAGTATAATGTCAGTAACAGTTTTCTATTACTGTCTATACTTTTATTTTGTCACCTTAGAGTCATGTACCAGAATATCAAGATAAGTGCTTTAAGGAACTGTGAACAGTGCACAAGCTTTAGAGTAAAAAAAAAACCTGGGTTCAAAGTCAAACTCTACTGCTTTCTAATGATATGACCTGGGGTAAATTACTTAAATGACATCAGTTTCCACACATTACCTCCCAAAGTTGTTGTGAGGATTTTTAATCGTTTATGTAACTAGGACAATGCCAGGCATGTAATATGTGCTTGATAAATAGTAGCTATTATGATAGTATTATTAGACAGTTCTTGGTACATCCCATAATGATTACCATAATTTTCTGATTGTTTTAACAAGCAAATGACTCAAACTTCTAGTATTATGTCAGTTGATATTTTGAGGTGGAATTCTTTCTTTTTTTTTTTTTTTTTTTTTTTTTGAGACAGAGTTTCACTCTTGTTACCCAGGCTGGAGTGCAATGGCACGATCTCGGCTCACCCTAACCTCTGCCTCCTGGGTTCAAGCAATTCTCCTGCCTCAGCCTCCCGAGTAGCTGGGATTACAGGCACTCACCACCATGCCCAGCTAATTTTTGTATTTTTAGTAGAGACGGGGTTTCACCATGTTGACCAGGATGGTCTCGATCTCTTGACCTCGTGATCCACCCGCCTCGGCCTCCCAAAGTGCTGGGATTATAGGCGTGAGCCACCACGCCCGGCGAGGTGGAATTCTTAAGCAGCATATTTCAAAAAGTTCTAGCTCAAAACATATTTTTTCTTCTTCTTGGTTCACCTTCCATTTATAGTTTATCATTTGCATGGCTGGTGTGATCTGGCTATCACTCTTAAGGCACTGTCTCTTCAAAACTATTCAAAATTATTATCTTTGGCTTAAAAATTATTGTTTAAATTTTAAAATAATTTTTAAAAATCATGAGAAGGCCTCTTTCTACCAGTTCTGTCTTTATATGATTATAATGAAGACTTTGAATGACTACATTGTATATTCCTATATTTCTTCACAATGTCACTCCCCTGTTTCAAAATCAGTGTTGCTGATGTGAACATTCTGTTGATTTTTCTAAGTTTTTTCATTGAGATAATTGCATATTTCTGTGCAGTTGTAACAAATAATGCAGAGAGATCTCATGTCTTCTTTAACTGTTTTCTTCCAATTGTAACATTTTGCAAAACTATGGTATAATACCATAAGCAGTATATTGACATTGATAAAATCCAAAGGTGTTATTCTGACTTACTGTATTCGTTTATGTGGGTGTATGTATTAAGTTCTGTGCAATTTTATCATGTGTGTAGGTTCAGCATCTGCTACCACATTCTAGACACTGAACAGCTCCTTCACCCACAGGACTTCTTCATGTGGTCCTTTATCACCATATTTCTGCCCTACTCCCCTGGCCCACTCCATTCTGTTGATTTTGAAAGGACAAATCAGATTTTTTTTTTTTTTTTAAGAATTAGTTTTCCTAGGGGACAGAAAAATAGCTTACTATGTTTTTGTTCATAATACATTTGTTTCTTAAAATTTTCATGGTTATTTGAAAATTAGTAGCAATTTAAAAGACAGTCTATAGTAGCAATGGAATATTGGAGGGAACATTGGGCTTGGAATTCAAATACCACAGTGTTGTTGCTTATTAGCTATGTGGCTTTTGGCAATTCCCTGACCCTCCTAGAACTTCTGTTTTGTTCCATGAAATGGGATGACTACTCTGTTGCAAAGATTATATTCCATAACATATGGAAATTACAAAATTTTTTTCGCAAATGTAGACTGCCAATTTTGTGTATGAGTTGGGGGCAGGGGTAAATATATGACCCTTCAGTCAGTAGGCACCAATGCCCTGTCTGTTCCACACCTCTTTTGAAACTCTTTAAGTACTTTTCTTGTTTTGGTTTGTTTTCTCTTTCCTTCCTTCTTTTCCTTTTTCTTTCTTCCATTTCTTTGTTCACTTCTCTGTCTCATTCTGAGGTCTACTGCCATACCTGCCTGCTATACTTGAGGCTGAAGGTATGGTCAATCTTGTCTTTAATGATGCTGCTTTATCTTTTTGTAGACACAGTGGTGGAAGGGCATTTAAAGGATCTTGAAGACGATGCCTGATTTAATGCTTTCCAGATTTTCTATGTAGTAAGACTTTGTCTTTTATACATTTAAAGTGCAGAGGTTTTTATTTTTTCTGCCTAGCCTCAGGGTTCAGGTTTTCCATAATTTGTAATTTTATAGACAAGATGATCAAAACTATGGGTTTTCACTTGAATGTAGATTGTTATGTCCCATCCTTTTTAGATTAACAAAAAGAATGAATGAGCATTTGAAGGAAAAATATAAGTACTATAAGGATTTTGACTTAGTTTTATGTACCTTGCCATTCAATTTTATTTTATATATATATATATATACATATATATATATATGTATATATATGTGTGTGTGTGTGTGTGTGTAATAAATTAGAGTGAGGCATTGATTGTTCGATAAGTTTCTTGAGTATAGTAAAGTCTATTTTAATTCCTTTTAGTTAAATTTTTAATGACATACTTAACACATGTATATAATTTCCCAAAGAAAATTATAACGTTATGCATAATGCTGAATTTTCCATACTGGTTCCTTATCATCTGCTCAGAAATGTAATCATTCTTACTGTTTTTGTTTCTTTCCACACCTTTTTTTTTGGCACATAGAAATGAAATATTGTTGCATCGGGCAAAAAACAACAGCAAAAAAACTCCGTAAAGAGTATCATACTCTATGTACTAATCTAGTTCTCTTTTTTCTTCTAAAGTATATACTGAAATTCTTTGCATATTAATGCATAGATATACTTCTCTATTTGTAATGGTTACATAATAGTTTATGATATGGACAGTCTGTAGTATGGATAACCACAGTTTATTAAAGGACACATCTTTTTTTAGACAGAGTTTCACTCTTGTTACCCAGGCTGGAGTGCAATGGCGCGATCTCGGCTCACCGCAACCTCCGCCTCCTGGGTTCAGGCAATTCTCCTGCCTCAGCCTCCTGAGTAGCTGGGATTACAGGCACGCACCACCATGCCCAGCTAATTTTTTTTTGTATTTTTAGTAGAGACAGGGTTTCACCATGTTGACTAGGATGGTCTCGATCTCTTGACCTCGTGATCCACCCGCCTCGGCCTCCCAAAGTGCTGGGATTACAGGCTTGAGCCACCGCGCCCAACTAAAGGACACATCTTAATAATAGTTTTAATTATTGAATTTAGGTTTTCTATACTTAAAGATGTCTTTTCTTCTATACTTTTGACATTTAAACTTAAAGGTTTGTTATCATTAAAATCTTATTCACTCATAAGCAGTTGTGGTCTATGGACTCTGAAGATAATTTATCTTAAAATTAATTAGTTTTGTCAAGAGTTGTTTAAAGCAAACAGAGCAGGCTGGATGTGATAGCTCATGCTTGTAATCCTGATACTTTGGGAGGCTGAGGCAGAAAGATCCTTTGAGCCCAGGAGTTCGAGATCCCTATCAGCAACATAGGAAGACCTAGTCTCTACATGAAATTTAAAAATTTGCTGAGTGTGGTGGTGCTCACCCGTGGTCCCAGCTACTCAGGAGGCTGAGGTAGGAGGATTGCTTTAGCCCTGGAGGTTGAGGCTGCAATGAGCCGTGATGTGCCTCTGTATTCTAGCCTAGGTGACAGCGGGAGACCCTGTCTCAAAACAAATAAACAAATAAAAATAAATAAATAAATAAAAAATAATGCAAACAGAGCACAAGTGCTGTTTTTAGGCTATTAAAACTGTTAGACTATTTGTCCATGTGCTTAGTTATGGTCAGTTCTTTCAAGGACTCTATTATCCAGTTTTTTTAATAGGTCTTCGTCTTAGCTTTGTCCAGGACTGGCTTCATGGGCATGTGACCTGCACAATCACGTAGAGCCCTGTTTTTGGTTTAATGATCTGTAGTAGCCATATTGAAATTCTTAATAGTTTTGGAATAAGGAGCCCTGTATTTTTATTTCACTCTCGGCACCTCAAATAATGTATCTGGCCCTGGCCCTGTTAAGATACTAACAATTTTCTGATGAGTAGAACAAGACACCTGGAAGTTCAAACACAGAGCAAAGTTCAAATATGGAACAGCCTTGTTACCCCTACCCTCAAATCACTTGTAGCCCTCTCCAAAGATGAAGAAAAGGAGATGCAATGGACATCAGTGGTAGCGCTTCTGGATAGCTCAAGGGCTTCTTTTTGGAACAAACATCTTGGTTAATTGGCAATGAGGCAACCATTCTTGAAAGGATATCTCATTTAGGACCATCATCTTGCAATTAGCCCTCTCTTGGCCTATTATGGGTGGCAGCCTCTTACTGTATTTCTAACAGGTGGGTCACTGGCTTCAAGATGCATCAGTGATAATTTTGAGTTTTGATGCAAAAGCCAACCACTTCCCTCCTTATTTTCAAATGCAGGTTATTTCCTGTATCCTGTATAGGAACCTTCAAAGCCACATTCCCATCTTATTTGTGCTAGCATGCCTTTCCTACATAATGTCTACTACTGCATCATACTCCACTGGGAGCATACAATAAGCACCCTTACTGAGGCCAGTCTAAGGTTGAAGCAAGGAGAGGGTACCTGGGGCTATCATTCTGGGAAAAGCATAGTATGATTCTTACAAGGGAAGGATTTGGCCTCTAGTGAATAAAGATTTTTCAGTTGCTCACCACAGTTTCAGTAATTGTGTTGTATTTATGCAGCCATAAAAAAGAACAAGATTATGTCCTTTTCAGAGACAAGGATGGAGTTGGAGGCCATTATCTTTAGCAAACTAACACAGGAACAGAAAATCCAATACTACATATTCGTGCTTATAAGTGAGAACTAAATGATGAGAACACATGGACACATAGAAGGGAACAACACCCACTGAGGTCTATTGGAGGGTGGAGGTTAGGAGGAGGGAGATAATC